TGTATGCGCAATATTTATTGTAGCAAATACTGTTAATGAAAAACCCTAATGTTTATAACATAATTAAGGAAAGATTTTATGTATTACAATTTTTATGTGGTCGAGGCAGATGCTCGATTCGGACAATTTTTGCGATTGTGTCTGACCTGACGTCATAAACCACACTTTCTTTCCATCTTGTCAAGTTCGTCCATTTCAGTTGTGATGGAGATGGATTCAAACCTTTCAACCTTCAAACCTTCAAACAACCATACGCAATGTCCTCTGCACCCCAATATGTCATCAGTGCACATTTCAACGGTAAGACATACATTTGTCCCACCTCTGGGTTTTTGTTTAGAGACACATACAACATCTGATTTCTTTTAAACGGGAAAGCCAATTTCTCGTACTTCAAAAAATGATTGGAGGCCAAAATTGGACGAGGCCCGGTGACACAAATATTTTATCAGAATCCAGTTTTTTTTGGTAACAACCAAATAATATTTTATAAGGTTGAGGTTCAAGATGACGAGGATCTTCAGAATACGTTTTCCAGTCATGTGTATTCTGGGTACGATTCTATTGAGTTGTACATTATGCTGTGAGAGCCTCAGGTGACACAAGTGGTTGATCCTTTGGAGATCGAACAAGCAGAGGTAGATGCAGTTGATGAAGAAGAAGAAGATGACGAGTTAGAGTTTGACGAAATGGTGAATGATGATTCCGAAGACGATGGGATACTTGGTATTCCTGCAAACGAGATCTATACACCACCTCCGCACATGAAAAACTTCAACATGGGGGGAGATTAACCGTCTTCTGATTTATTTTTCAATCCGTATATGCAGTCGGATGAAAACTTAAAAGAGAAGGACAAGTTTCGTAACAGAGAAGAATGTATCAGAGCCATCAAAAAATTCCACATGCTCAACTCGGTCGATTTTAAGGTGGACCGTGTAAACCCAGAAAGGTACAAGATCAAGTGTGTCCACCCTGATTGTATGTTCAAGCTCATTACATCATACAAATTAAGAGGTGATTGTTGGGTTATAGATTCCATGTCTACCCACACTTGTGTCAGTTCTACCCAATCACATGATCATCGAAAACTTAATTACGATCTCATTTGTCAAGAAATCCTACCACTCGTCAACAACGATCCATCTTTGAAGGTGAAAACCATCATCTCCCACATCACTATGGTTTTTTACTATACTTCGTCTTACCGTAAGGCGTGGTTAGCAAAGACCAAGGCGATTGAAAAGGTGTACGGAAACTGGGAGGGGTCATACCAAGAACTTCCTCTCTACCTGAATGCACTCAAGACTTATTCTCCGGGTACTATTTACATTATGGAAACAGTGCCAGCATACGCCCAAGATGGTAGTCAACTAAATGGAAACGGATTATTCAGTCGAGTGTTTTGGGCATTTCAACCTTGCATCACAGGGTTTGCATCATGAAAACCAATTATACAAATTGATGGGACTTGGTTGTATGTGAAATACAAAGGCACGCAACTGATGGCAGTTACACAAGATGGCAACAACAAAATTTTCCCAATTGCCTTTGCCCTAGTCGAGGGGGAGACCGGTGGAGCTTGGAGCTTTTTTCCGAAAAACCTGCGAACACATGTGGCTCCTCAACCAGATCATTGTTTGATCTCGGATAGACATGCATCCATTGAAAGTGCATACAATTATCCTACAAACGGTTGGCATGACCCTCCTTCTACGCATGTCTATTGCGTTAGACATATCGTCCAAAATTTCACGAGGGAGATCAAGGACAAAACACTAAGGAAAGCGGTTATGAATACGGGATATGCATTGACACAACCCACATTCAAATATTACCGCAACGAGATCCGTTTGTCAAATCCGGAAGCCGGTAGGTGGATCGACAATATTCTGGTAGAAAAATGGACTAGGTCATACGACAATGGCCAAAGATGCGGGCACATGACAACAAATCTAATTGAATCGATGAATGGGGTATTCAAAGGCATACGAAACCTCTCGGTCACTGCTTTGGTAAAATCTACGTATTTTAGGATGGCTTCGTTGTTTTCCAAAAGAGGTGAAATATGGAATGCGCTGTTGTAATCTGGACAAATATGGAGTGAAAGCTGCATGAAGTACATTAAGGCAGAAAGTGCCAAAGCCAACACCCATATGGTTATACGGTTTGACCGACACATCCACAACTTCATTGTGAAAGAGACAATCGACCACAACGAGGGCCTGCCAAGACAAGAACATAGGGTTGTACTACCTTCTCGTTGGTGCGATTGTGGCAAGTTTCAAGCCTTTCGTATGCCTTACTCTCATGTCATTGCCGCGTGTGCTTATACCCATCAAGACGCGCTACAACTTCTGTCACACATTTACAAATCTGAAACGTTGCTCAACGTTTGCAACAACAGCTTTCCTTTGGTAGCAAAACCAGATTATTGGCCTGCATACGACGGTGAAATAGTGTGGCACAATGACCAAATGCGAAGGAACAAGAAGGGTCGTCCCAAAAGTAAGCGCATCACAACCGAAATGGACTCCCTTGACAAGCTGGAAAGAAAGTGTGGTTTATGCCGTCAGGTCGGACACAATCGCAAGAATTGTCCGAATCGGGCGTTTGCCTCGACCACATAAAAATTGTATTACATAAAATCTTTCCTTAATTAATTATGTTGTAAACATTAGGGTTTTTCGTTAACAGTATTTTCTACAATAAACATTGCGTGTACAAGAAAAAAAACATGATATTCTGTCTACGAAATTACAACTGTTAAAACAATTTCATCTGACCCATGCATCATCAACATAACGTCGCTGTCTGTTTTGACTTCCTCCAACCATACATTAGGTCTTCCTGTCACATGTGAGGTTGTTGTTCGTCTTCGCTGGATCCTTCGAATTTTTTCCCCCTCCACGATGTCTCCATCTAGCCATCGCATCAACTCCCGCTTCAGACGCTTCATGGAGTGAATGTGCCAGAATTTCATTTTCATCGCAGGTTTCGTGGCGGAGAAGATAACGTAACCATCTCTGGTAAAAATCATGGGCGATGTCATGACACAAATAACAGAGTAAAAAAATAAGAAAACAGTGCGAGAAAGTGTGAGAAATGACGGAGAAACGGACGAATTATTTATAAAAACAACATTTTGCCCTAGGAGCCAAGTGAGATGGTGCCTCCTCTCACTTTTAAAGTGCACGCACCATCTCACTTGGCTAAAAGAGAGAGGAGGCGCCAAGTGAGATGGTGCCTAGGACAAAAAGCTTGGTGGAGGCGCCAAGTGAGATGGCTCCTCCTTTGGAGAGCAATCTGAAACATGGTTATTTGCGTAATTTTTTTCCGAAATGTGGTTATTTGCGAATTTTTTTAATACTTGGTTATTCAAAAAAAAATTAAATATTAATTCTTTATTAAAATGAATGGTTGATTTTTTTTAATTAACACTTTGGCCACTTTAGACTATATTTTATTATAAAAATATTTTAAGAAGTTTTTTTTATTATTATTTAATCAAATATATGTGAAAAAATGTTTTATAACGTTACTATATAAATATCATTTGAATGTTTGATTATAGAATGAAACATATCTACCATTTATCGTTTGAAAAATAAACAAAATATAGAGTTATAATTTTATATTTTAATTCTGACTTTTAATTAAAAAATCACTATCAAATAAAATTCAATAAAAAAATAATTTATAATATAATAAAATAAAAATAAATAAATTTAATAATTAATTAATTATAATAATAAAAAATGCTATCAGTATGAAAATATAAAAGCAAAAAAGACATAAATTAAATTTCAACCATTCATTAATATCGTTACTCTATTATCCATGATTTCTATTAAAATAAAAATTAAATTTAAAATGAATTTAACATTATCCTTTAAAATTATTGTCTTTTTTATTTAAATCATTCTTATTATATAACATTACTTTATAGTAATTGATTAATTTAATTATAATTTTAATCATTCTATTTTAATTATTTGTATGAAATATCCACTTTTTTTCAAAGGTATATATCCACGTAATTTAAATTTAGTTTTAATCTTTTTACATTTTATATTTAAAATTAATAATATGTTTATTTTTAATCTATATGTCATTTATAAAGCGTAACATATTATAATATAAAAAAGTTTTGTGGAATTTTATAATAAAACATATAAATTAAAAAAAGAATTATTATAAAATAATAAGAGGAGAACATAACTGTTTAAGTTTTAAATAAATAATAAATTTTGAATTAAGTAAAATAAAACACAAAAGTTAAAACTAAACCTAATTAAAACCACTTTCGTGTCTATTTAGTTTAAAGATGAATGTCATGTTTTTTTTTTAAATTTTCTAATTACCTTCATAAACTTTCTAATAATGTAGTTTTGTAAAATTTATTAACCATCCATAGTTCGATGTAACTTATAAAACTTGCATCTCATACCTATCTAAATCTAATAAATATTATTATTCAAAAGATTTGATTTATTCAGAATATAACTCAAAAGCTAATTAAGATTAGATAAATCAATTATCTTTTCATTCAGTTTTTCATGGAGTATAAATAGGGGTTTTGTTAGTTTTTTTAGGAAGATATATCTGTTAGTTTAAATTCAAATCTATATGAGAAAAAAAATATCAGATTCAATATTTTTGGGAATAATAATCATAGTTAATTTGATATAGCGTATCTTTATTTTGGTTATAAAATTATATTCTATCTTTTTCCTCAAACAAAAAAAGTAACAAATTGGTTTCACCTTCTTTTTCTCAAATTCTAATAACCGCTGCAAATTTGATATATATATATATATATATATATATATATATATATATATATATATATATATATATATATATATATATATATATATATATATATATATATATATATATATATATATATATATATATATATATAACAAAAGAAACAGTGGTAGTGCAAGTGATTAATTAAGTGCATCAAATCTTTAAAAATTATTACTGCTCCTTCGATGGAAGAGATTAATCCATTAAGTACAGGATTTTTTACTAGTGGTAGTAATATATGGAACAATGATTATGGATCACTACCTTATGAAGGTTATAACATGATGGAGATGGCTTCTATGAGAGTACTCACTCCGCCATGGCGAGGATTGGTGGTTTCAATGGTGATGGATTGTCTCGACTGTCAATAGTTACAAGCAGTGATCGAAGAGGGTGATCCAAGATATGTTGCTATGATCCTCTCTGAGATAAAGGATTATTTACACCAGCTCATGAAAGATCAGTTTGGCAATTATTTGATTCAAAAGATTTTTGAAGCAAAGAAAGGCATCACTAATATCCAAATAGATTCTATTATTTACTTGATTATCTATGATACTCACAAGTTAAGAGACGTCTGCAAGAACAATCACGGGTACGTAATTTTAAAAATTGATTAATGTAGCACTGATACTTCTGGAAAAAAAATATATGTCTGTTGATAATTGTGTAATTCTTTTTTTTATATGTCTGTTGATAATTGTGTAATTCTTTTTTTTTTGCGCAGAACTCGAGTTATGCAAATAATGCTAGAGAATATGAAATGTCCAGTCACAAAATATGCGGTATTGTATATGATGAAGCCTATCATTGATGAATTGATGAAAAATATTAATGGTGGTTATGTCATTGTGCAATGTGTGAAGGTTTTTCCACCCACACTCAAAAAGGTTCTATTGTAAATAGAGAATGAAAATTCATATTAGACATTACATTTTATCATCATATATTAATGTCTCTCAAATTATATAACTTTTACAGGTGATCTTGGATGAATTAGCAAAATATTGTGTTGAAATTGCAACACACAAGATTGGATGTTCAGTTCTTCAAACTTGTCTTAAAGATAGTGAGATACTAGCCATGGGCTTGATAACATCAATAATCTCAAATGCTATGTTGCTAGCAGAAGATTATTACTGGTTTGAATCCACACTCTTGAATTCGTATTTTCCATTTTGAGTATGACATGATATATATTATTTAGTAGAGTTTGAATGTTTATTTTAATTTTAGTATTTTGATAAATGTTATATATATTTTTTGTATGTTTGAAGAAACTATGTGGTGCAATTTGTAATTAAAATGAAGTTTCCGTTAGTAAATGAACGGATGATAGCAGAACTTTGTGGAAAATTTGTTAGACTCCCTATGAACAAGCATGCTAGCAATGTGGTGGAATATTTAATGAGATGTTCTAATCAAGATGATGTTAATGCTATAGTAGAAGAGCTAATAAGAAGCACTGATTTCTTGAATGTTATTCAAGATCCTTATGGGAATTATGTTGCACAAAGAGCACTAAAATGCACTAAGGTAATCTATTTTTTTTAAAGGATTCCACTTTTATTGTATTATAACATTCCAAGTTTTTATTAACGTTTTGATTCGCATATTATTTGTGTTAAAAAATTATTCATATTTTCTTTAATCATTATTTCTTTGTTTTGTTTATTGCAGGGCTATCTACGTAGAAAACTTTCTTTTACCATTCGATCCTATCGCATCGAGCTTCAAAACCATCCACATGGGAAAATAGTGTTGGACAATGCCAAATCTAGCAAGCGATGATTTTTATATTTGAAGGATCACAACAACTTTTAAGCATGCTTTATGTGATGTGTTAGGATTGTTAGTTTATAGAGAGTAGTGCAGTATGGTTGTTTCGGTAAATTTATGATGTTGCATGTTTGTTGGTTTATTGTTTAAGTAGAGAAAACAGTAGGTAATAACTCTCTTGTTATGTAGTAAGAACTTTAAAATGTTGTTTTTATAAGACATTGCGTAGAAATTAGTAGGAAAAATATTTCGAGTTTTGGTCTTTAACTAACTTTTTTATGAATCTACATTTTACCTAAATCATGTTGGTGTGCTCGCTTTATTTTTTTGGTGCAGTTTGCAGTCGCATTTTAACTGTCAGTGCTTATTAACCGAGTATTTTTACTTTTGATTTTTATCAATTGTAATCTTTTTTATTAATCTTTGTTGTGTGTAGTTTATCTTAATATGTTCATTTTCTTTTTTTACGATTACTTAGGTGTTCGTTTTTATCATTTTTTGTTATTTTCGGTTTCGTTTTTTATCCTGAAAAATTAAAATTAAAATATTTTCTTGTTGATTTTATTTTATTCTTTTAGTTTATATCATTGTACTAAATTTTTTATATATATTTTTACTAATAGTATTATTTATGTTTATTGTTTTGTCCAAAATATGAAGAAGAAAAAAATTAATTATCGGACCACAAAGTTACAAATTTCACTTTTCATCTCATTCAATCCTCACCCTTCATTCTTTTTTATCAAAACCCATATTTATTTTTGCAACATCACATGGATTGCCACATAATTCCCTTCCAATTTCAAATTTCATTAGAAACTTATACCATATTTCTCATGTCATTCATTTTTTACACAAAAGAAGAAATATTTTTAAATTTCAAATTTAAATCTTCCCACACTTTTCATTCAAATTTTCTCATCATTCACACTATAAATAAGATTTCTCTTCTCTCATTTTGGATCACCAATTGTTCAATTAAACTAAGCCAAAAATGTCTTCTTTTTTCTCTTCATTTTCTTTCAAGTTATTTCTCCCTTTTATTGAATAGGTATGCTTTTATGCTTGTTCTTTATTTAATTCTATTGCATTTTACTCTTGCTTTATTTATTTAGTACCATAATTATTACCATTTTGCAAGGAAACTCCATTGATTCAAAATCAAGAGTAGAAAATTGTTCTTGAACCTCCAAAAGCAAAAGTGATTTATTGTTGTATAATTTTTTGTTTTTTTCCTGTAATTTTTTGTTTTTTTATTTACTTATTTTGAGTATGGATATTTGTTCGTGAGATTGAGTAGATGAATTTTCATTATTCATTTGCTTGATTTCATGGAAAAAAATGAGAAAGTTATGACATTTTTACTATTTTTATTATGGATTTCATCTTATTCTTTTTTATCTATTTTAATTTTATTTGGATCAATTTAGAAAGTATTTAAGCTTTTTTAGTTCATCTAAGCTTCTTGGATATTTGATGAACTTTCATAATTTTCAATCTACCTTTAAATGGTCATTTGATTATTCAAGGTACTTGGAATTGATGATAAGTTTGTCATATATATCTTCCTTGACTTTGTCTTGATCCTCCATATTTGTTAATTGTTCTACATGTATAAGAGAATGAGCTTCAAAGTTTCATTTCTCTAACATGTAGGAGTCCATATATTCTATGCTCTACATGAAGTTACATTTGTCCCAAATCAGATTATTAATCATTAACATTAACTTTATATTGTACTAACTTACTTTAATATCATTTATATTTTCGCAACTTTAATTTTCGCACTTTATTTACCGCATTTTTATTTCATTTACTTTTAACATTTACATTTCATATACATGTTTATGATTCCACATTTTTCTCTTTGTCCACTTGGACACATGTTTATGATTCCTCACTTTTCTCTTTGTCCACTTGGATGTATGTTTATGTTTATGCATCTTTTTCCTTTGTCCACTTGGACCTTTACGTTGTGTTTAATAATCAAACTTGAATAATTACTTGAGATTCATCTTGGATTTTGATACTTGGATACCTGGTTACTCTATTGTTATTTTCTTTGTGTGTATGTTATTCTGATTTCTGTGCTTTATATGTTATTGGGAATTCCTCGATATACAGTCGTTACTCTGCCAAATTTTTTGAAGACTTTCTTTGATTCTTATTTTTTATCTGAGGCACAAGTTCATCTGAAGTTTATTTCACACGAGGTTTGGATTAATTATGTTTGTTTAGTTTTCAATCCAAAGGATGAGAATTCTATATTGAATTCGCTATGTCAAGCGTGGACTTCTTATTGGTTAGACCGTCTCTTACCTTAGCTTTTACTGTATATACATAGTATAGTTTCTCAACCTCCTCATATCTTCTTTAAAACTTTCTTTTCAAAACTCTTTTTGTTTCCTAACTTGAACTTCTTTCACAATAAACTTAGACTTCGATCCATGCATTTTCAAAACCCTTTTACTTAATTAAACTTTAATCAATTTAATCATACTTTGACATATTTTTATAAGACTAAAAGTTATTAACCTTATTCAAACCATTTTGTCGCTTTGGAATTTTATTTTAAAACTTCTTCTCAAAAGACTAGACTCTTGTTAATCTTTGGTAGTGATGCAAACTACTATACTTCTATGATATATATAGTGAAGTGAGATATTTTCCACTTAGGTGTTGAGTGAGGCTCTGTTGATTTTAAATCCAAGCCATATCCTCCACTTTGAGATGACGCAAATTCTCCTTTCTCATAATCATAGGGAGTAAGCATGTTTTTCACTCGGTTATGACGATGATGTCTTGTTTTCTTAAAATTAACCAACACATGATCTTTTAAAAAAATTTAGAAGAACTGCGAGTGCCCTGATCCTCTATTGCACGAAAGGTGGTACGTAGGCACTAAAGATTCACAACCGCGGCGGGTGCAAAATCTATAAAAATATACTTATTTTCTCACCTCCACCATCTATTTTGTAAACACCCCTTTGAAGCCAAAACCTTGATATTAGATCGTCGTGTCTTCAAAATCTCATTCACACCCATTTTAACCAAACAAGCAATTTTAACCAAAAAACAGATATTTCAAAAGGTTCCTACGGAGTACCGCAAATGCATTGGGTGCTAGTACCTTCCCTTTGTATAACCAATCGCCGAACCTTCGATCTCTTTCAAAAAATACATTGTATTTTCATTATTTTTAAGTATTACTTTACATTGCATATTTAAGAGTTTTATTTCTCTCTTTTCCCTTTCCCCTTGGAAATAATAAAGCGCGGTGGCGACTCTTGGTTATTTGCGAGTCAAGTTAATTAATAGCTTGATCTTCAATTTTCACCGTTACAGGACTATCAACAGATTTTTTGGTCTTCTTCTTTTTTTTCTTGGTTTTGAAAGGAGTAGGAGGAATATATTTATTGTTGTCTTCTTCTTCTTCAACAGTCACCAGATCTTTGTCATCCGCCTTCCTTTTTCCTGAAGATTTTAGTGGGAGACCACTAGCCTGAAAATTTTCATAATTAAGCATTGGGTAAGGGATTTCGAGGAAGTCTGTTTCTGAAAATTGTACCTTGATTTTCTTCGATTTCGCTTTGTCTGAGGATTTTTCTTGTGCGGAAGAAGGCTCTTTGGTGGTTGTAGTAGTAGTAGTTTGATTGGAAGTCGAACTTGCCTTCAATCCAGGTTTTTCTTTCTTGACTATTTTCCTCTCGACAGCTAACAATAGACATGCATTTGACAGTTGGTTAAATGATATTAAGTAAGCTTTGAAAGGACAATCGAAAGGATCAACGAATCCTTTGGTTCCACACCTTCATATGTATCAGATACAATAGAGACTGCTGATAGGTCATAGTGAAGGAAACCTTTGAAACTGTCCAGAGTATGCTTAGTCAAAACCACTCTCTTAGCAGGTTTTTGAGCATCATTTTTTAGAATGTTAAAAATATTTCCACATGTAAACAATTTGGATAAGGCGGAAAAACGCTAAACCAAAGTCGGCATTTGGTAGTTTTGGAAATTTTGGTGGTTGTAATTGAAAAGCTAGTTCATACCTATGTTCAGGCTTTATAGAAGAGAGAATTTTTAGGCTTGAAAGTTTTTTAGTAAATTTCTCTTTCAAAGTTTTTGTTGTGTCAAAAATAGTTCGACTAATATTAGTTAGATCATAGACAATTTCAAAGTATATCTGGAACGCCTAGATTTCTTTGATGTGTATGAACTTACCTTTTTGAATGTTTTCCTGCATAAATGAAAAATCTTTCATTAAATGTTTGTTTATCTGGGTAGTATTGAACATGTTCTTGGTTTAAAATTCAGTCCACCAAGAGTAAAAACTTTTAGTTGTGTAAAAAACTTGTTGAAATGAAGTAAGTTTAAATTTAGCAAAGTTGACATGATAATTCTGATATTTATCAATGTCCTGAAAGATATAGTCCACTCCTACCACATAAATCTCTCTCTTTCGATTAAATATAGGTTCGGGAATAAGCTGACATAATCCAAATTGGCAGGATACAAAATTGGGTTGATAGGCCAATGGACAAACATGGCTCTTCACTGGCATGATCCTGAAGATTAGAAGCCTTGGTAATAGGAATGTGTGCCATATGTCTTCAATTTCTGAGTTAGCATTCTTTAAAGCATCTTCAATAGATGAGGTAAACCATGTAGGACCATGGGTTTAATGAGAAAAGGAAGCCATGGTTGGGACAAAATCATGACAATTCGAAAACATCATCATATACTTGGTAAAAAATTTCTGGAGATTGTCTTCCTCTTCGTTTGGGGTTAATTGCAAAAGTCTGATTCCTTCTATGGTCCGATTGAAAATATCAAGATCTTCTTCATCTATGGTCTTGAAGGTGCTAAGTTATTGCTTGAAAGTGGCATTTAGCCACAGCTGAAGAAGCCAGTATGGGTCAGCAAGGAGCAGGTTAATACCAGTTTCGTAGATTTTTAATTTAGAAATAGCTGACCCTAAACTCTCATAAAGACCAGTTAAGAGCAATTCA